CCCTATTTTGAATTTTTTCCGTATTACCCTCCCTTCAGTCGAGGGAATATCGAATGCAATATCATATTTTGTTGAATTTCGAATAGCAAACAGTAACAAATACCAAAACAATATGTCCACCAATAGCTGAAGACAAAGAGTATTATGTCGCTATCCTTTTAGAAATCATAAACTTGATTTTTAGCTTGAAACAATGTCTTAACCGAACGATTAATCCAGCGCATTTATCGAATACTGACATTAAAGATGGATTTATTTCTTCGCTCGATTTTTTTTTCTTATCGCGTACAATCATTTTTCTTGATAGCAACTACCTTGAATCGATGAAATTGCGAGCGCATGAAGCGAATGCAGTAATGATAGCATGTTTTTATTGACACACTGTTCTTTTTCCTTCAGAATAACATTGAAGCAATGCAGATAGCGGATCCAATTCGTTTTAAATACTTCGCAATTGCATGATAGTCGATGGAATAAGTGTTTTCGAATACTACTTGTTATTCTATGACCAACATGATTCAATTGCTCACTAAATACAGGCTTCTTTTCTTTCATATTTCATTATTTTTTAGATTCATAAAGCCGTTTGACGATTATGAAAACTCAGATTAATGGACCGAACTACACAGACTACCACGGCTATTTGCTACCACATGATTTCCCCACTGAAAATATTGATTTTGCTTCAAAATTTCGTCCGAAGCCCAACACAATTATGATTTGTACTTACCCGAAATGTGGAACAACATGGATGCAAAATATTGTACATTTGTTATTGCATAACGGGGAACCATTTGCAGCAGGTTGTACATTAGATGATGAGATGCTATTTCTTGAATATGATAGTAGGGTATCTTCTAGCGATTTGTCCATATTAAAAACACATCTACCATTAAACATGTTGAGTTGGAGTGAACAAGCGAAGTACATTGTAATCGCTCGCAATCCTAAAGATTGTTGTGTTTCATTTTTTCATCATACACGTGGTTATGTGGATTATTATGATTATGCACATGGTACATTTGACGATTATTTTCCACGATTTCTTAATGGTCAAGTTGATTTTGGTAGTTTCTTCGACCATTTCGCATCATGGGAACCGAGATTCAACGATCCAAATGTCTTCTTCTGCACATATGAAGAGATGATTTGTGATATCAAGGACATTGTTCTACGACTTGCCATGTTCTTGGATGTCAAATTGGGCGATAATCTTTTGGAAAAAGTTATTCAACATAGTTCATTTAAATCTATGAGAAAAGACGAAAAGGTTTTCACTGGAGAAAGTCCCAAAGATACTTTTCGATTTATTAGGAAAGGTGAAATAGGTGATTGGCATAACTATTTCAACGAAGAACAATCAAGACTTATCGACATGAAAGTGAAGCAATATCCATTGATGAAAAAGTTGTGGGCAAAATATATCTAAAATTCTTCATCTATGAAAAAAGTTTTATGAATCAATGCCTTTATTATTAATAAATGAATACGGTGTCAAAATGATTTAGTATGATGTAAAATTAGAGTATTTGTGACTTTTGCATAGGATTTTGAGGGTGTGGATGGGTGTTAGTGTGGGTATGTTCTTTTTCTAAACCCACACACTCACATCATAATACATGCGAGGGTATGGGTGTGGGTGTGGGAGAGGGGTGGGGTGTGAGTGCAGATGCGGGGTGTGGGTGGGTGTGGGTGTGGTGTGTGGTAGGTGTGGATGTCGGTGGATGTGGGAAATGGGTATGGCTGAGTGTGGGTGTGGTGGGTGTCGGTATGAATGTGGATGTAAGTGGTGGATGTCGGTGTGAATGTGGATGTAAGTGGTGGGTGTCGGTGAGTGTGGTTTTGGCTGTTATTCGTGTAAATGATACTCGCACCCACCCATAAGATATACATGATATAATTAATCATTATCAACAAGAGGAGGTTAGATTTTTGTTTTTATAAATAATATAAATATTTTATTTATAAGAAAAATCTGGAAGAAGAATTTCATTAAACGGTAACAATGAAATAATATTTATTTTACTGCATGTTACTTATTAAATAAAATCTGTGTTTTCCTTCATTTATTATTTTTAATTGAAAAAGTAAATAAACGTTCTCAGAAAAAAAACGTTCTTAAGTTATTTTTTTACTATGAAAAATAATAATGATGATTTGTTTAAGAAATAAATAATCATTATGGATGAGTGCGTGTGAGGTGGGTGTGGAGCACGGGTAACAGTGAATGGAAGATTCGCTCACACCCCACACTCCACATCCCAACTATGTTTGGTGTAATTATTTGCCAAAACAACAAATAATCAGTTATAAGACAACATTTGTTTCATACTTCTCTCAAAGTGTTTTGATCGATTCTTTTTGATGTCTTCTAGTTATGATTTGCCGAGCAATAGTAAAATATAAACTCGTAAAAGTAAAACATTGGCTATGGTCTATTGAATTTATCAAGGACAGCCATAACAAGTGACCGAAAACGTCGTGTTGTTCTATTATATCACTATCATACGACGAAAAAAGTCCAGCTTGGAGATGATGTCTTCTTTTGATAACATACAAAAAGTCTTGTAGAAACAGTGATGAGATAAAAAAAAAGAACAATGTCGAATCATTTTCTTTATCTTTATGGTTCTTCACTAAACAAAACAACAATGTTCTATCAATTTATTTTGAATAATGACTTCTCTACTTGTGAGAGCTAAATTTGCGCAATGAAAATGTCAGGGGTAGAGAGAAGACTATTCTACCATGACGTATTAGCTAACAAGTTCTATTATATCTCATGCTACAAGAGACTTGCTTGGAAACAGTCTCTGTCTTCTGTGGCAAACGACATTAATATTGTGATACAAATAAGTGCTTGTAATAGAGTAAAAATGTAAATATTCATGAAATGACTACGTGATAGAAGAGTACTCAAGTAGTCCAATTGATAGAACAGTCAACCGGTTTGATTGGACAATGCGAGCTCGACTTTCAACCTAAGTCAATAATCTATGTCGACTTGCCTATCCTACTTTATTGTTGAGTGTCTTAGAACTCAGCCTAGGAATCAAGTAAATCGTATGCTTTTTTAAAGATGCGGAATTTAGTTCCTTAGAAACAGTTCCTACAGAAATATGTCCTCATAGCATTTTCTCTGCTTTTTGTAGATGACCAAAAATGAACATGTACAAAATGTTTTTATTTTCCACTACACATATTGGAAAAAACTTCAAAATTTGTGCATTGGCTAGGGTGTGGGTGTGACTATAGATAAAAAAAACACCCACATCTATCCACCATCTACACCCACACCCACAAGTAAATTAACAGCCAATCCAAACATCAGTACTGAACGCGCAAATGTTCCTTATATTTTAACTGGATTTGATGTTCCTAAGAGTTTTGATGAAATTATGGCATTCGGCATGTTGTATCAGCGTATAACAGATAATTGCAATAATCTACAAATGATATTAAAACAAATACTTGAAGTAGCGAAAATTGAAACATACAAACCTCCTCAGTTACGATTGACAGCTGATCTGTTCTCATCAAATTCAACTGTTTTGTATACAATATTTTCAAACTTTACAAGCACCGATGACTGTCGTCCACCATTTCATGTTCGTGAATCATCAAATTCTGATGAGACTTGTCCAACATATTGTGTGATAGCAATCAGAATTGATCCAGTAGACTTAAATACCGAGGGTGTGAGTGTGGGTGTGGGTGGGTGTAGTGATGGGCCGAAACTCTAACGCGAAAAACGGAAGAACGAAAGGAAAATTTCTTACGACTATGACGTAAGTAAGACGTAATTTTCTTTCCTTCCTGTACGAAATTACGGAATAACATATATCTTGCTCGTCATTGGTAACACGTTATACCGTAATTTCGTACAGAAAGGAAAGAAAAATTACGTCTTCCTTACGTCATAGTCGCAAGAATTTTTTTTTCGTTCTTTCGTTTCTAACGTAAGAGTTTCGGCCCATCACTAGGTGGGTGGGTGTGGGGGGGGGGGTGTCAGCATTATTGTCAACTTTACTCGCACTCATACCCATATCCCACACCCACACCCACACCCATCTCCTATATTCTAGAGATACTCTTAAGTCTTCAATTTTATAGTCATGATTGCCATAAATATATTGGTTTTTTTTCATAAAAATACTTCAACTAATGACAATCTTTACATTGCCCCTTGTAAATCATTAAAAGCGGGCGAAAGTTATAGTGTCTATTACAAGTAAAGAAAAACGTTTATGATAGTCAGACAAATAAAAATGAAAACGATAATAATAGCCATCATTGAAGAGTACTCTTTTCTACAAAAATGGATTTTTCTCTACTTGCATTTTTTCCTGCCACGAGAATAATGATAAACAGTTCTTTTGGGTGTAGGGTCTGGGTGTGAGTGGACGTTGGTGTGAGTGGACGTTGGTGTGAGTGTGGGTGTAGATGTCAGTATGGGTGTGAGTGTGTTCGTGTGGACGGTGTGTAAGAATGTGGTGGGTATGGTTATGGATGGTGTGGGAGAGTAGGTTGGATCTGAATGTGGCCAAAGGATGTGCAGATGGATATCCAGATAAAGTACGCTTACACCCACATTCACAACACACCCATACCCAGACCCTACATCCAAAAGAACTTTTTATCATTATTCTCGTGGTAGGAAAAAATGCAAGTGGAGAAAAATTCATTTTTATAGAAAAGAATACTCTCCAATGATCGTTATTATTATCGTTTTCATTTTTATCTGTCTGCATATCATAAATTTTTTTTCTTTACTTGTAATCGATACTATAACTTTCACCCGCTTTTAATGATTTACAAGGGGCAATGTAAAGATTATCATTAGTTGAAGTATTTTTATGAAAAAAAAAAAACAGTATTTTTATGGCAATCATGACTATAAAACTGGTAAAAAGCATTCAGGTAAAATTATTTGTTTCAAGGAGAATTTCGATGTAAAAAGTAAGGCTTTTTACGAATGTTTTTCGGTTGCATACTTTCAAATTAAAATAAGAAGAACATTGGTTATCAACTGTGCTCAAATGTTACGATAAAACTTTGTTCATATGATGTATATCTTAGTCATCAATTTATTTGATTCCTTAGTGTCTAAAGTATTAGTATCGAAGAGAGTGAATTCTAGAATTTCATTGATTTCAATTTGTTTTTGTCGATTTCATGACCGATATGGGAATTGTTTCTAATTTGAATTGAGATATTCCTAGTAATTTCTTTGTTCTTAATAGAGTAGGTTGGCAATGTTCAACTTCCAGCCCATTGAAAAGAAAAAGAATACGTTGAAGAAACCAAGAAATAGTTCTACATATTCATCGATCAGTTTTAATAAGAAACAGTCGATATAGAATAGAATGTTTCTATATTTATCAGATTTTTCTTTGATTCCACTGACAAGGGAAGGTTCCCAAGTGTGACACTCCGTTTCGAATCTGGTATTGGCATTTTGTAGAACTCAGTGAGTACAGCATGTAATATATAGGATTCGTCCCCATAATGGACTTTGAATGAACTACGAGGCACGACAAAGGACGTCCTATGATGACTGAAGATAAATTGTTAATGGTATTTTTCATAGTTTATCTCAACATAAAGAGCTGCAATTTTTATCACATATATTTGTAACCAAGATCTTTTATTGCTGAAAGTTTCAGCTCTCTAGCTATAACTAGCAATGAAATACATAGATGAGATTGAAACACAAATTTTCGTACAACGAAAATCATTCAAAAATCGAGTGTAAAAATTTGAGTTTCAATCTCATCTATATATTTCACTACTAGTGATAGCTAGAGAGCTGAAACTATCAGAAATGAAAGATCTTGGTTACAAATATGTGTTAAAAATTTCAGGTCTCTACATTGAGAAAAAGTATGAAAAATATCATGAACAATTTATCCCCAGTCATTATAGGACATCCCTTGTGGCACCTCATAGTTGATTAAAAGTCCATTATGGGGACGAATCCCTTATATTACGTGCTGTACTCGCTGAGTTCTACAAAATGGCTAATGCCAGATTCGAAACGGAGTGTCACACTTGGGGATCTACCCTCGTAAGTAGATGATGAAGAAATACGAGTACCACTGGAATATAAGAGATGAGAACTAAAGGGTACTTGAGGGTGTGGGTGTGGGTGTGTGTGGGATATGGGTGTGGGTGCGAGTGTGAATAATAAAAATCTTCACACATGCATCAACACCTACACCCACACATAACTCTCGGATTTAAATCCGAAGTTTCCGCATTTTTATTTTCTAAAGCTATTGGAATTTTCAAACATTGAATGAGACTTTTCATCTTGAATTTTACTTATAAATGACTGAAACAGAAAACAAGCTCCTCTATTCATGAGTTCTTCCTCGTTATTGCTCTACATGAATCTCTACCAATTAAACAAATCCATTGCTATTATTA